ACACTATATGATTCAGAGTACCACTGAGTATGGCTCCATGTGTAACCAACTTCCCACAGCAAATGCACCACAATGCCACACAACCGGAAGGAGAGCACTACAAAGACAAAGGTGAGTTGGAGATCCATGTTTTGAAACTTCACACAGCATTCTATGAGCTGATGAACGGACTCCAGTCTGAGTCATGCTGATAGTTGCATTGACTACTGAGCACCTCAAGTGTCAGCAGAGCATCAAATTCTTCCAGTAATTCTCAGAGAGCATGAGTTCAGCTGGTCAACATGTGCACTGAGTCCTGGGAACCCTCCTTCAGTCAATGTGATAGGCTAGTGGTTCAGCGGCAAGGAGCATGGCCTACAGCCAAGTTAGGGCTCATCACAAGAAGTACTGTATTTCTGAGAAAGTACCAAAGTGTTGAACTGTACTCTGTATTCACAGAACAGTTTTTTATTACATCAAGAATGCTCAAAGTAGCTGGATGTGGTTGTGCATGCCTGTAATTCCAGCACTTGAGAGGCTGAGGCAGGAGGATCATTGTGAGTTTGAGGTCAGCCTGAGCTACAAAGTGAGCTCAAAGCCAGCCTGAACTGCATAGTGAGACCTGTCTCAGAAAAACAAAAACAAAAACAAAAAACAAAACAAAAAAACAAAACAAAACAAAACAATAATGCTCAAAGTATTAAACTGTACCCTGTATTCACAAAATACTTTTTTTCTTCAAATCAATTACAATTCAGGTTATCTGACAGATATCACAAAACTGCCCACCATAGTCAGATGACTACTTTAGAATTTTCCCTATGAACTTTCTACTATGGTTGAGAAATCACATATGCATCCCACATAGAACTATAAAGTACAGAGCAAAGACCCATTCTTAGACACCTTGAAACAGCCACAACAGATGTTTGGAGTAAGCAACATAAACTTGAATCTCCTTGCTACCGAGAAATCTCCCTCCCTACCACCACACACACACACACACACACACACACACACACACACACACAAACCTGTAAACATGCATGCCTGGTGTGCAATTTAATCATGTGTTTGGGCAAATAATTCAAAGCCTGTCCTGAGGGTGCACACACACTTCTTGAGAGTTAGAAAGTCAATTTTTACAACAGGGAAACATTTTGGTTTTCTGTTTTTTGCTTTTATTGTGGTACTGGGGATTGAACCTAAGGCCTTAATGCATGCTAAGAGTACTACACTACCGAGCCACATCCCCAGCAAAATAGCCAAACATATTAGGAAAATTATTTCTTCTCTTCCATGAAACATAAACTTCAGAAGGCAATGGGGTGAATGATCAAGCTGTGCTGCTGTTGTTTTTATTACATTGAAATGAGCACGTGAAATAAAAGACACTGGCAAAATCTAGGCAACACTATTTCTTTAGCATGGTTTCGAGAGGGAAAATGACTAGCTTTAATATTAAGCTCCACAAAGCCAACTGCTCATTGCTTAAATTATTATAAAAGACTTTTACACAGTTCAGATTTTGTGGTTAAATGGTACTATAAAATTCTATTTACAGAGCACCAAAGATTGAGTATTTGTATAGAATGTTTCCATAACAGAATTTCACCTGCAATGGCATGTCATCACTGTTGAGCTGCTTAAAACAGTTACTATGGCCAAGTGCGGTAGCACATGCCTGTAATCCCACCACTTGGGCAACTAAATCAGGAGGACTGCTGTGAGTTCAGTCCAGCCTGAATTACAAAGTATGATTCTTGTCTCAAAAAATAAATGAATAAAATAAAAAACAAAAGACTCATTATAATATGAAAAACTTCATATATAAGTTAGCTATGAAATAAAAGACAGACAATAGAAGAAAAAAGTTATTGTAACTCAGCATGGAAAATATATCTAAAGGAATACTTCGACTTAGTACAATTGTGTTCCATCTTTTATATGTGTTTTGGCTTATAGTCTGGTATGTTTGATATATATATATATATAATATATATTGATATTGATATATATATCTTATATATATATATATTTCTTTTTAATAGTCTTATTTTTAATCTGTATACATGACAAGGGTTTATAAGAGAAATGCATGAATGGGATTCTGGCAAAATACAAGGATGGTGGAAAATAAAGAATAGAAATGTGTCATGGACATGTATCAACTCCCAAGAACCAACATGATTATTATGTACTGCAAACACATACCAATAGAAGTTTTAAAAAAAAAAAGGCAGTCATGAATTCAGAGAAGACAACTAAAATGAGTGAGATTTCATAACTTTCCAGCAGAAAGGGTTCCTAGGGATTCGAGTGCAACGCTAGTGTCAGGGCCTTTGCACTCTGAGTTCCACACAGTACTGGCTTCACTGAGAAGTGGACACCTGATGTTTCCCATATACAAATTTATCCAAGAACCCACCAACTTTCACCTTTTCTCAAGACCAGTGTGCCCATCTTACCTTAGGCTTTCAAACTTTCCCTACTGTCAAGTTCAAATTGTACCTCTTAGACATTACATACTGTCTGATTTTGTTGCAGAAAGCTTTTTGATTGATATTTTATTAATCATCTCACTAGGAAAATGTCTCAACCTATCTAGTTCACTTATAACTCTAGTTTTGGGTGTGATCAGCTTACACAACCAATCCTACATCAGAGAAGTGTACATACTTCCCTGATATGTTGGTGCCTGTGCTCCCCTATGCAAAATCATTCGGAACAGTATATATTATTTTCAGAATCTATCTTTATGTGGGCCTAGGGATGGTATGTCAAGCCAGTACGCTCTCACTTATACTCCACTCCTCAGCCCCTTAAGATTTAGTAGCGGATTATAGTTCAATAATACACTGTAAAGTAGAGATCCAATCTCAGATAAAATGTAAAATTATATCACGGTAAATGCTTCTGGAGGACCACTTGTGTAAACAATAGAAGTCACCACAGTGACCTTAATTATAGCTTATTTAGGACTTGTGTCCAAGTTTTAAAACATATACATGCACATATATAATTCTATCAAACTGAGAAAAAGCCACACGATGCATGAACAACTGTAACAGTCATTTGACAGTTGAGAAAACTGAAGCCTAAGCTAAATAACTTTGTCAGACAGCTAACTAGAGAATTAACCAGGATTCAGCAGCCAAAGCTCAAATGGCCAAGCCTAACTATTACCCATTCTATCATCTAGAGAGACAACTCTGCAAAGGAAGACTGAGAATACACATGTGAGTTCAGTCAAAGTTTCCAAATGTCCTCTGTTCTCCAGACATGATGGCTTAAAACAGGCTTTAGGTCAATGGAGGCAAACCTATGGCATGCATGTTGCAGCAAGCTCTTTGTACCACTGAAAGCTCTATCACTGCTTTAGGTTCATCTTTCAAAAGACAATGTATTTACAATAGCTAGAAATTACACTTAAAATCAGCTAAGAATGATGGTTAACTCAGAAAACTGTTTCATGAGATGGAGAAATAACAAAAAGCTTACTTTTTTTGAAGTTGATGATTTTTTTCATCCTTTCCTCCCAATTTGCTAAGCTGGAAGGCATCCTGAGATGAGTTTTCCGTTTCAGAAACAACGGCTACAAAAGAGAAGAAAAGCCCCCAAATTTAGAGTAAATTAACAGGGCAAAGTTTCATGTTTCACAAATAGGAAGAAGATTCTGCAGGTAGAGAGCTGAATCATTTCTGAAGTGTAAGCTTCCGAGCAAACACATATAAATGTTCAAGCGTATAAATTAGCATATAAGAGGGTTATTCATTCACGCCAAATGAATGTCCACTGCTCTGCTCTGGTTCACATGTGGGCAGACTGGGCTGTCTGGAGAATGCTCAGCCATGATTCCTTGTGGGCACTGGACACCTGTGACAGGTACATAGGAAAAAGCTCATGCTCTCCCAATCCCAGCAGTTAGGACAGCTGCCTAAAACCGGCCCACCTTGTCTTGGTGATTCTTTGCCAGTTTGTCCAGGCAGACCCTTTTTCTTTTTGCCAAACAAACGACCAGTGGAGGACTTGATGCTCTTCTTCTTTGGGGCTTTGTGGAGCGCGTCCTGCCTGCTGTCACTGGTACTGGGATTGTTCACAGGACCTTCCTGGGAGCCTGTTGAGCTTCAAAGAAATAAAATGGATTTTTACCACCCTCTTCCCAGCTCCACAGTCCATTCACACGTACAAGAACAGTCTGCATTTTTAATATTCCTACCTTCAACTTCCTAAAAAACGTTTTGAGTCTCTTACACACAGTACAATATGCATTGTGATGCAGGGTCCCAGTAATGCTTCCACAGACCTGTGTCTGGAAAGCCAAGATTCTGATGTGCTCCCTGCTCAGAGCAGGCCTGTACTCTGGCCTGCCTGGTTTGGACACATAAGGGAACACCCTCTGCAGGGGCCTTGCTCAGGCACTGAGGGATGCACTCAGTCAACAGGAAAGAAAACAAGGTTTCAGAAGCCTGACTGTAATTGTAACTTATTTAGGAATTGTGTCCATGTTATAAAACATATACATGCACATATATAATTCTATTGAACTGAAAAACAGCCACATGATGTATGAACAACTGTAACTGCCATTTGACAGTTGAGAAAACTGAAGCACAGGATAAGTAACTTTGTCAGAGACACACAGCTAACTAGAGAATTAACCAGGATTAGGCGGCCAGAGCTCAAATGGCCAAGCCTAACTATTACCCATTCTATCATCCTGGGAGAACACTCTGAAAAGGTAGACTGAGAATACATGTGTGAATTCAGTCAAGATTTCCAAATGTCCTCTGTTCACCAGACATGATGGCTTAAAACAGGCTTTAGGTCAATGGAGGCAAACCTATGGTGTGCATGCTGCAGCAAGCTCTTTGTATCACTGGAAGCTCTATCACTGCTTTAGATTCATCTTTCAAAAGACAATGTATTTACATAGCTAGAAATTACACTTACAATCAGCTAAGAATGATGGTTAACTCAGAAAACTGTTTCATGAGATGGAGAAATAACAAAAAGCTTACTGTTTTTGAAGTTGACGATTTTTTTCATCCTTTCCTCCCAATTTGCTAAGTTGGAAGGCATCCTGAGATGAGTTTTCGGCTTCAGAAACAACAGCTACAAAAAAGAAGAAAATTCCCCAAAGTTAGAGTAAATTAACATGGCAAAGTTATATGTTTCACAAATAGGAAGAAGATTCTGCAGGTAGAGAGCTGAATAATTTCCGAAGGGTAAGCTTCCGAGCAAACACATATAAATGTCCAAGCGTATAAATTAGCATATAAGAGGGTTATTCATTCACGCCAAATGAATGTCCACTGCTCGGCTCTGGTTCACATGTGGGCAGACTGGGCTGTCTGGAGAATGCTCAGCCATGATTCCTTGTGGGCACTGGACACCTGTGGCAGGTACATAGGAAAAAGCGCATGCTCTCCCAATCCCAGCAGTTAGGACAGCTGCCTAAAACCGGCCCACCTTGTCTTGGTGATTCTTTGCCAGTTTGTCCAGGCGGACCCTTTTCCTTTTTGGCAAACAAACGACCAGTGGAGGACTTGATGCTCTTCTTCTTTAGAGCTTTGTGGAGTGGGTCCTCCCTGCTGTCACTGCTGCTGGGAACGCTCACAGGACCATCCTGGGAGCCTATTGAGCTTGAAGGAAAGAAAATGGACTTTTACCACCCTCTTCCCAGCTCCACAGTCCATTCACATGTACAAGAAAAGTGTGCATTTTTAATATTCCTACCTTCAACTTCCTAAAGAATTTTTCAACTCTCTTACACACAATACAATATTCATTGTGATTCAGGGTCCCAGTAATGCTTCCACAGACCAGTGTCTGGAAAGCCAAGATTCTGATGTGCTCCCTGCTCAGAGCAGGCCTGTACTCTAGCCTGCTTGGTTTGGACACATAAGGGAACACCCTCTGCAGGGGCCTTGCTCAGCCAGTGAGGGTTCCACTCAGTCAACAGGAAAGAGAACAAGGTCTCAGAAGCCTGACTATAATTGTAACATATTTAGGACCTGTGTCCATGTTTTAAAACATATACGTGCACATATATAATTCTATTGAACTGAAAAAAAAAACACATGATGTATGAACAACTGTAACTGCCATTTGACAGTTTAGAGAACTGAAGCACAAGCTAAGTAACTTTGTCAGAGACACACAGCTAACTAGAGAATTAACCAGGATTCAGCGGCCAGAGCTCAAATGTCTAAGCCTAACTCTTAACCACTCTGTCCACTAGGGAGACAACTCTGCAAAGGGAGACTGAGAATAAATGTGTGAGTTAAGTCAAAATTTCCAAATGTCCTTGGTTCTCCAGACATGATGGCTTAAAACAGCCTTTAGGTCAATGGAGGCAAACCTATGGCGTGCATGCTGCAGCAAGCTCTTTGTATCACTGAAAGCTCTATCACTGCTTTAGATTCATCTTTCAAAAGACAATGTATTTACATAGCTAGAAATTACACTTAAAATCAGCTAAGAATGACTGTTAACTCAGAAAAATGTTTCATGAGATGGAGAAATAACAAAAAGCTTACTGTTTTTGAAGTTGATGATTTTTTTCATCCTTTCCTCCCAGTTTGCTAAGTTGGAAGGCATCCTGAGATGAGTTTTCTGTTTCAGAAACAACAGCTACAAAAAAGAAGAAAAGCCCCCAAATTTAGAGTAAATTAACAGGGCAAAGTTATATGTTTCACAAATAGGAAGAAGATTCTGCAGGTAGAGAGCTGAATCATTTCTGAAGGGTAAGCTTCCGAGCAAACACATATAAATCTTCAAGAGTATAAATTAGCACATAAGAGGGTTATTCATTCAAGCCAAATGAATTTCCACTGCTCTGCTTTGTTTCACATGTGGGCAAACTGGGCTGTCAGAAGAACGCTCAGCCATGACTCCTCATGGGCACTGGACACCTGCAGCAGGCACATAGGAAAAATCTCAGGCTCTCCCAATCCCAGCAGTTAGGACAGCTGCCTAAAACCGGCCCACCTTGTCTTGGTGATTCTCTGCCAGTTTGTCCAGGCAGAACCTTGTTCTTTTTGCCAAACAAACGACCAGTGGAGGACTTGATGCTCTTCTTCTTTGGGGCTTTGTGGAGCGCGTCCTGCCTGCTGTCACTGGTACTGGGATTGTTCACAGGACCTTCCTGGGAGCCTGTTGAGCTTCAAAGAAATAAAATGGATTTTTACCACCCTCTTCCCAGCTCCACAGTCCATTCACACGTACAAGAACAGTCTGCATTTTTAATATTCCTACCTTCAACTTCCTAAAAAACGTTTCGAGTCTCTTACACACAGTACAATATGCATTGTGATGCAGGGTCCCAATAATGCTTCCACAGACCTGTGTCTGGAAAGCCAAGATTCTGATGTGCTCCCTGCTCAGAGCAGGCCTGTACTCTAGCCTGCCTTGTTTGGACACATAAGGGAACACCCTCTGCAGGGGCCTTGCTCAGGCACTGAGGGATGCACTCAGTCAACAGGAAAGAAAACAAGGTTTCAGAAGCCTGACTGTAATTGTAACTTATTTAGGAATTGTGTCCATGTTATAAAACATATACATGCACATATATAATTCTATTGAACTGAAAAACAGCCACATGATGTATGAACAACTGTAACTGCCATTTGACAGTTGAGAAAACTGAAGCACAGGATAAGTAACTTTGTCAGAGACACACAGCTAACTAGAGAATTAACCAGGATTCAGCGGCCAGAGCTCAAATGGCCAAGCCTAACTATTACCCATTCTATTATCCTGGGAGAACACTCTGAAAAGGTAGACTGAGAATACATGTGTGAATTCAGTCAAGACTTCCAAATGTCCTCTGTTCTCCAGACATGATGGCTTAAAACAGGCTTTAGGTCAATGGAGGCAAACCTATGGCGTGCATGCTGCAGCAAGCTCTTTGTATCACTGAAAGCTCTATCACTGCTTTAGGTTCATCTTTCAAAAGACAATGTATTTACATAGCTAGAAATTACACTTAAAATCAGCTAAGAATGACTGTTAACTCAGAAAAATGTTTCATGAGATGGAGAAATAACAAAAAGCTTACTGTTTTTGAAGTTGACGATTTTTTTCATCCTTTCCTCCCAATTTGCTAAGTTGGAAGGCATCCTGAGATGAGTTTTCTGTTTCAGAAACAACAGCTACAAAAAAGAAGAAAATTCACCAAATTTAGAGTAAATTAACATGGCAAAGTTATATGTTTCACAAATAGGAAGAAGATTCTGCAGGTAGAGAGCTGAATCATTTCTGAAGTGTAAGCTTCTGAGCAAACACATATAAATGTTCAAGCATATAAATTAGCATATGAGAGGGTTATTCATTCAAGCCAAATGAATGTCCACTGCTCTGCTTTGTTTTACATGTGGGCAAACTGGGCTGTCAGAAGAACGCTCAGCCATGACTCCTCGTGGGCACTGGACACCTGCAGCAGGCACTTAGGAAAAATCTCAGGCTCTCCCAATCCCAGCAGTTAGGACAGCTGCCTAAAACCGGCCCACCTTGTCTTGGTGATTCTTTGCCAGTTTGTCCAGGCAGAACCTTGTTCTTTTTGCCAAACAAACGACCAGTGGAGGACTTGATGCTCTTCTTCTTTGGGGCTTTGTGGAGCGCGTCCTGCCTGCTGTCACTGGTACTGGGATTGTTCACAGGACCTTCCTGGGAGCCTGTTGAGCTTCAAAGAAATAAAATGGATTTTTACCACCCTCTTCCCAGCTCCACAGTCCATTCACACGTACAAGAACAGTCTGCATTTTTAATATTCCTACCTTCAACTTCCTAAAAAACGTTTCGAGTCTCTTACACACAGTAAAATATGCATTGTGATGCAGGGTCCCAATAATGCTTCCACAGACCTGTGTCTGGAAAGCCAAGATTCTGATGTGCTCCCTGCTCAGAGCAGGCCTATACTCTAGCCTGCCTTGTTTGGACACATAAGGGAACACCCTCTGCAGGGGCCTTGCTCAGGCACTGAGGGATGCACTCAGTCAACAGGAAAGAAAACAAGGTTTCAGAAGCCTGACTGTAATTGTAACTTATTTAGGAATTGTGTCCATGTTATAAAACATATACATGCACATATATAATTCTATTGAACTGAAAAACAGCCACATGATGTATGAACAACTGTAACTGCCATTTGACAGTTGAGAAAACTGAAGCACAGGATAAGTAACTTTGTCAGAGACACACAGCTAACTAGAGAATTAACCAGGATTCAGCGGCCAGAGCTCAAATGGCCAAGCCTAACTATTACCCATTCTATTATCCTGGGAGAACACTCTGAAAAGGTAGACTGAGAATACATGTGTGAATTCAGTCAAGACTTCCAAATGTCCTCTGTTCTCCAGACATGATGGCTTAAAACAGGCTTTAGGTCAATGGAGGCAAACCTATGGTGTGCATGCTGCAGCAAGCTCTTTGTATCACTGAAAGCTCTATCACTGCTTTAGGTTCATCTTTCAAAAGACAATGTATTTACATAGCTAGAAATTACACTTAAAATCAGCTAAGAATGACTGTTAACTCAGAAAAATGTTTCATGACATGGAGAAATAACAAAAAGCTTACTGTTTTTGAAGTTGACGATTTTTTTCATCCTTTCCTCCCAATTTGCTAAGTTGGAAGGCATCCTGAGATGAGTTTTCTGTTTCAGAAACAACAGCTACAAAAAAAAAGAAAATTCACCAAATTTAGAGTAAATTAACATGGCAAAGTTATATGTTTCACAAATAGGAAGAAGATTCTGCAGGTAGAGAGCTGAATCATTTCTGAAGTGTAAGCTTCCGAGCAAACACATATAAATGTTCAAGCGTATAAATTAGCATATAAGAGGGTTATTCATTCACGCCAAATGAATGTCCACTGCTCTGCTCTGGTTCACATGTGGGCAGACTGGGCTGTCTGGAGAATGCTCAGCCATGATTCCTTGTGGGCACTGGACACCTGTGACAGGTACATAGGAAAAAGCTCATGCTCTCCCAATCCCAGCAGTTAGGACAGCTGCCTAAAACCGGCCCACCTTGTCTTGGTGATTCTTTGCCAGTTTGTCCAGGCGGACCCTTTTTCTTTTTGCCAAACAAACGACCAGTGGAGGACTTGATGCTCTTCTTCTTTGGGGCTTTGTGGAGCGCGTCCTGCCTGCTGTCACTGGTACTGGGATTGTTCACAGGACCTTCCTGGGAGCCTGTTGAGCTTCAAAGAAATAAAATGGATTTTTACCACCCTCTTCCCAGCTCCACAGTCCATTCACACGTACAAGAACAGTCTGCATTTTTAATATTCCTACCTTCAACTTCCTAAAAAACGTTTCGAGTCTCTTACACACAGTACAATATGCATTGTGATGCAGGGTCCCAGTAATGCTTCCACAGACCTGTGTCTGGAAAGCCAAGATTCTGATGTGCTCCCTGCTCAGAGCAGGCCTATACTCTAGCCTGCCTGGTTTGGACACATAAGGGAACATCCTCTGCAGGGGCCTTGCTCAGGCACTGAGGGATGCACTCAGTCAACAGGAAAGAAAACAAGGTCTCAGAAGCCTGACTGTAATTGTAACTTATTTAGGAATTGTGTCCATGTTATAAAATATATACATGCACATATATAATTCTATTGAACTGAAAAACAGCCACATGATGTATGAACAACTGTAACTGCCATTTGACAGTTGGGAAAACTGAAGCACAGGATAAGTAACTTTGTCAGAGACACACAGCTAACTAGAGAATTAACCAGGATTCAGCGGCCAGAGCTCAAATGGCCAAGCCTAACTATTACCCATTCTATTATCCTGGGAGAACACTCTGAAAAGGTAGACTGAGAATACATGTGTGAATTCAGTCAAGACTTCCAAATGTCCTCTGTTCTCCAGACATGATGGCTTAAAACAGGCTTTAGGTCAATGGAGGCAAACCTATGGCGTGCATGCTGCAGCAAGCTCTTTGTATCACTGAAAGCTCTATCACTGCTTTAGGTTCATCTTTCAAAAGACAATGTATTTACATAGCTAGAAATTACACTTAAAATCAGCTAAGAATGACTGTTAACTCAGAAAAATGTTTCATGAGATGGAGAAATAACAAAAAGCTTACTGTTTTTGAAGTTGATGATTTTTTTCATCCTTTCCTCCCAATTTGCTAAGTTGGAAGGCATCCTGAGATGAGTTTTCTGTTTCAGAAACAACAGCTACAAAAAAGAAGAAAATTCACCAAATTTAGAGTAAATTAACATGGCAAAGTAATATGTTTCACAAATAGGAAGAAGATTCTGCAGGTAGAGAGCTGAATCATTTCTGAAGTGTAAGCTTCTGAGCAAACACATATAAATGTTCAAGCATATAAATTAGCATATGAGAGGGTTATTCATTCAAGCCAAATGAATGTCCACTGCTCTGCTTTGTTTCACATGTGGGCAAACTGGGCTGTCAGAAGAACGCTCAGCCATGACTCCTCGTGGGCACTGGACACCTGCAGCAGGCACATAGGAAAAATCTCAGGCTCTCCCAATTCCAGCAGTTAGGACAGCTGCCTAAAACCGGCCCACCTTGTCTTGGTGATTCTTTGCCAGTTTGTCCAGGCGGACCCTTTTTCTTTTTGCCAAACAAACGACCAGTGGAGGACTTGATGCTCTTCTTCTTTGGGGCTTTGTGGAGCGCGTCCTGCCTGCTGTCACTGGTACTGGGATTGTTCACAGGACCTTCCTGGGAGCCTGTTGAGCTTCAAAGAAATAAAATGGATTTTTACCACCCTCTTCCCAGCTCCACAGTCCATTCACACATACAAGAACAGTCTGCATTTTTAATATTCCTACCTTCAACTTCCTAAAAAACGTTTCGAGTCTCTTACACACAGTACAATATGCATTGTGATGCAGGGTCCCAGTAATGCTTCCACAGACCTGTGTCTGGAAAGCCAAGATTCTGATGTGCTCCCTGCTCAGAGCAGGCCTATACTCTAGCCTGCCTGGTTTGGACACATAAGGGAACACCCTCTGCAGGGGCCTTGCTCAGGCACTGAGGGATGCACTCGGTCAACAGGAAAGAAAACAAGGTCTCAGAAGCCTGACTGTAATTGTAACTTATTTAGGAATTGTGTCCATGTTATAAAACATATACATGCACATATATAATTCTATTGAACTGAAAAACAGCCACATGATGTATGAACAACTGTAACTGCCATTTGACAGTTGAGAAAACTGAAGCACAGGATAAGTAACTTTGTCAGAGACACACAGCTAACTAGAGAATTAACCAGGATTCAGCGGCCAGAGCTCAAATGGCCAAGCCTAACTATTACCCATTCAATCATCCTGGGAGACAACTCTGAAAAGGTAGACTGAGAATACATGTGTGAGTTCAGTCAAAATTTCCAAATGTCCTCTGTTCACCAGACATGATGGCTTAAAACAGGCTTTAGGTCAATGGAGGCAAATCTATGGCGTGCATGCTGCAGCAAGCTCTTTGTATCACTGGAAGCTCTATCACTGCTTTAGATTCATCTTTCAAAAGACAATGTATTTACATAGCTAGAAATTACACTTAAAATCAGCTAAGAATGACTGTTAACTCAGAAAAATGTTTCATGAGATGGAGAAATAACAAAAAGCTTACTGTTTTTGAAGTTGATGATTTTTTTCATCCTTTCCTCCCAATTTGCTAAGTTGGAAGGCATCCTGAGATGAGTTTTCTGTTTCAGAAACAACAGCTACAAAAAAGAAGAAAATTCACCAAATTTAGAGTAAATTAACATGGCAAAGTTATATGTTTCACAAATAGGAAGAAGATTCTGCAGGTAGAGAGCTGAATCATTTCTGAAGTGTAAGCTTCCGAGCAAACACATATAAATGTTCAAGCGTATAAATTAGCATATAAGAGGGTTATTCATTCACGCCAAATGAATGTCCACTGCTCTGCTCTGGTTCACATGTGGGCAGACTGGGCTGTCTGGAGAATGCTCAGCCATGATTCCTCATGGGCACTGGACACCTGTGACAGGTACATAGGAAAAAGCTCATGCTCTCCCAATCCCAGCAGTTAGGACAGCTGCCTAAAACCGGCCCACCTTGTCTTGGTGATTCTTTGCCAGTTTGTCCAGGCAGAACCTTTTTCTTTTTGCCAAACAAACGACCAGTGGAGGACTTGATGCTCTTCTTCTTTGGGGCTTTGTGGAGCGCGTCCTGCCTGCTGTCACTGGTACTGGGATTGTTCACAGGACCTTCCTGGGAGCCTGTTGAGCTTCAAAGAAATAAAATGGATTTTTACCACCCTCTTCCCAGCTCCACAGTCCATTCACACATACAAGAACAGTCTGCATTTTTAATATTCCTACCTTCAACTTCCTAAAAAACGTTTCGAGTCTCTTACACACAGTACAATATTCATTGTGATTCAGGGTCCCAGTAATGCTTCCACAGACCAGTGTCTGGAAAGCCAAGATTCTGATGTGCTCCCTGCTCAGAGCAGGCCTGTACTCTAGCCTGCCTGGTTTGGACACATAAGGGAACACCCTCTGCAGGGGCCTTGCTCAGCCAGTGAGGGTTCCACTCAGTCAACAGCAAAGAGAACAAGGTCTCAGAATCCTCACTGTAATTGTAACATATTTAGGACCTGTGTCCATGTTTTAAAACATATACATGCATATATATAATTCTATTGAACTGAAAAAAAACCACATGATGTATGAACAACTGTAACAGTCATTTGACAGTTGAGAAAACTGAAGCACAAGCTAAGTAACTTTGTCAGAGACACACAGCTAACTAGAGAATTAACCAGGATTCAGCGGCCAGAGCTCAAATGGCCAAGCCTAACTATTACCCATTCAATCATCCTGGGAGACAACTCTGAAAAGGTAGACTGAGAATACATGTGTGAGTTCAGTCAAAATTTCCAAATGTCCTCTGTTCTCCAGACATGATGGCTTAAAACAGGCTTTAGGTCAATGGAGGCAAACCTATGGCGTGCATGCTGCAGCAAGCTCTTTGTATCACTGAAAGCTCTATCACTGCTTTAGGTTCATCTTTCAAAAGACCATGTATTTACATAGCTAGAAATTACACTTAAAATCAGCTAAGAATGACTGTTAACTCAGAAACCTGTTTCATGAGATGGAGAAATAATAAAAAGCTTACTTTTTTTGAAATTTTTGATTTTTTTCAGCCTTTCTTCCCAATTTGCTAAGTCGGAACGCATCCTGAGATGAGGTTTCTGTTTCAGAAAGAACAGCTATTAAAAAATCAGAAAAGCCCCCAAATTAACATGGCAAAATTATATGTTTCACAAATAGGTTGAAGGTTCTGCAGGTAGAGAGCTGAATAATTTCTGAAGGGTAAGCTTCCAAGCAAACACATACAAATGTTCAAGAGTGTAAAGTAGCACTTATGAGGGTTATTCATTCACGCCAAATGAATGTCCACTGCTCTGCTTTGGTTCACACATGGGCAGACTGAGAAAGCAGACTGGGCTTTTCTGGAGAACCCTCAGCCATGACTCCACGTGGGCACTGCGCACCTGCGGCCGGCACACAGGACAAAGTTCACGTTCTCCCATTCCCAGCAGTTAGGACAGCTGCCGAAACCCCACCCACCTTGTCCTGGTGATTCTTTGCCAGTTTGTCCAGGCCGACCCTTTTCCTTTTTGCCAAACAAACGACCAATGGAGGACTTGATGCCCTTCTTCTTTGGGGCTTTGTGGGGCGAGTCCTGCCTGCTGTCACTGCTACTGGGATTGCTCACAGGACCATCCTGGGCACTTTTTGATCTTGAAGGAAAGAAAATGGACTTTTACCACATGCCCTCTTTAGAACTCCACAGTCCACTCACATGTACCAAAACAGTCTGCATTTTTAATATTCCTACTTCAACTCCCTGAAGATCCTTTCCAGTCTCTTACCCACAGCACACTATGCATAGCAATGCAGGGTCCCAGTAATGCTTCCACAGACCTATGTCTGGAAAGCCAAGATTCTGATGTTGCTCCCTGCTCAGAGGAGGCCTGTACTCTAGCCTGCCTGGTTTGGACATCTAAGGGAACACCCTCTGCAGGGGCCTTGCTCAGCCAGTGAGGTTTACACTCAGCCCTCAGGAAAGAGAACAAGGTCTCAGAAGCCAGAACTGGAATTCCACCTTCCCTCTCAGCAGCTCCTGCAGGCTGGTTCCTTGGATCCTGCTCTCCTGCAAAGTGAGAGCTGTACTATCTCTCAGGACACTGTGGAGACCAATGTGCCTGCTTGATCATACTGCCTGGTATGGAACAAAAGCTTCTAAGAGGAAGTGTGGAAAACAACAGTCTATAAGTAACCAAGCCTTCATGGCCTCCTGATGGAACATGCTTCCTAAAGGGATAGGGACAATGTGGGACTCTCAAGAGCTTAGAAGACCCAGAGTGTGGGAGGGTACCTGAGAGGCACCGATTGTCCACAGAATAGCACGATCCAGAACCTGCCACATCCGTGTGGCAAATTCTTCACCAGGAATAGAAAGAAAGTTCTTAAAAGAAGTGAGTGTGTGGGATCTGAAGAAATGGAGCTTTTCTCTCAAGTGCTAATTTCAAATAATTCCTATTCTTTCTAAACTTTGCCCAAACAGATGGCCTTTTCCACTGGATGTCACTACAGCCGCAGAACAGGAGAACACATTCTAGGTCTAACGTTTAAATAATCACAACCAAATGAGCTTGCTGAGAATTCTTTAAAAACTTGGTTTTTCTCACAGGAAAAGATTAATAGATGTTCTTAAAAACTAAGACAAGCAGGTTTCTCAGGGGTCTGGTGGCCTACGAGACCTGCTCCTTACTTTTGCATGTCCCTGATGTCCTCGTGGCTGACTATTTGCAACGCCCCTGTGTGCAGCCTGTCTAGCTGAAGGGACTTCGGAGAGGAGAGAGGGGAAGTTCCACATTTTATCGTTGTCTTGTCATCTCGTTCTTCTTCTCTGCAAGCTAGCAACTGAGGAGTGAAAAAACAACATCAGCTAACAGTACATTATAAGAAAACACATCACATAGGCTTTAAATAACATAAACTGACTCAAAACCTATTAGCTAAACTTTCTACCTGTCCTGAGAAGTCTCATTTTAATTGAATGCCAACCTGAAGGCCTGTTTGTCTGGGGGAAATGGACCACATAGCAGAGAGAGAGCAGGGCAGGTTGACCTATAGCCTTCCTTCATGGAAGCCCCGGGAAGCCCAGGGACAGCATCACCCCCCCTTCAAGATTCTGTTCTCCGTACAACCTCAGGTACCTCTGAGGATAGTTACTGAGGGACAGTGAAGTCCTAAACGAAGCCTGTTCACTGCACTTTATCACTTCAGGTTAACAAAGTTACTCTCATTACTGAAGAGCCTGTGACACATATCTTCAGTTACTGATGTCACTCAAAGGAACACTAGTGGGGGCCGAAGCCTCAGGGAAACTGTCAATACTTTTACCTCTAGCAAGAAACAAGACAAGGACAGCATGAGCGAAGACCCAAATATGCATGTGTGTGGCTTCTGTTTCTCACTGTGTGGACCAAATGTTATGAGCAGAAGCATTTGCATGCAGCCTAAAACCTTACTTCCATGTGGCTTCATAAAATAATCCTGGGTTTTGGGTTTGCATATTATCTTTTTTTGAAGTCCTGCAATGTCTCCAATGTTTTGCTTTTATTGGTTTTGTTCTTTAATGTTTTCAGTTTTATTATAACTGATGATATAGGCAATTCTTTTTAAGATAGCAAGAGGCATTATGGTACCCAATGATCATCACTTTGTCTTCCGTTTTTATATTATGTACTATATCCATTCTTTTGATTTGACTGACTCTGTTTTGTTATGTCACATTGGATTTTATTCTCTTCAAATAGAAAGTAATAAGAACTGTGGGAGTAATAAAACCCAAAATGTATAATTGTCATAGTAAAAAAGAGAGGAAAAGAAAGTGCTCTAAAGGATATAATTGCATGTATATTTAAGTGTATAAGATAGATAACCATATTGCTAAGTTTTTGTGGGATCATTGAACAGAATTGTTTGTAGTCTCACAGTTTGAATGTCTACTTTATATGCTTTAATTTTGTAATCTGAACAACCATTTCTAAGATGACAGTATGTAATCTATTAACTAGTGACTTCCTACTGTTTTTTTTTTTTTTGAAATTCTGTATCACTTGTATCCTTTTTCTGTTTTTTTTTCTTTTTCTCCTTAAATAAAAAAATAATAATAATCCTGGGTATATTATTAAAAGAGGGTCACACAGACCCTGGGATTTCTTTTAGGGGATGGCCCATGAGTATGCCTATGTGTTGAAGAAGGCAGGACTGTGGAAATAGTGCATATGTGAACTCTTTCAGGGTCTGGTTAGGCCCTGTTTAGAAGGTTGTTATTTTCGGGTTTTGAAGCAGGACTAGATTTCATGAAACATTCATGGTGAACAACAAGTGGTGAATAGTTAATTTATTTATCTGTACAATGGTATAAAGGATACAGATTCCATTATAGTCCTGTAGCAGCTCACTGAAGACCACCTAGACTAGTGTGAGCTGAGAGCATTTAGGATATAATTTTTTTTTTTTTGTCTTTTTCCTTTTTATTGGTGCTGGGGATCGAACTCACGACTGCCTGCTTACAAGGCAGGCGTTTATGCTGCTGAGCTAAACTTCCAGCCTGCTAGGATATAATCTTAACAGATAAACAGATAAATTCTGTATCTTTCTCTCTTTTTTTTTGAGATAAGGTTTCATTATACAGTTCTGGCTGGCCATGAACTCACATGATAGCCCAGGCTGGCTTCAAACTCCAGCAGTCCTCCCTTATCAGCCTCCTGAGTGCTGGGATTACAGGCATATATCACCTTGTCTGGCTCTCATTTCTAATTGTAGTAACAAAACAAAAGACTGTCGGGGGCTGGGGTAACCAGAGCTCACTTACTTAGCTTGTTTGAGGCCCTGTGTTTAACCGCCAGCAATCTCATCTCTAAAAAAGTCCATCAAGCTTGAAATCAACAACATGAATCATAAAAGTTCAAAAAAACTTTTTGGGAGGGAAAAAGAAATCAAACTTAGGACATTGTTTGCCAGGCATCATTTAAATTTCACGTTAAAATAATCATTTGTTAAAATAGAAAAGAAAAAAGAAGAGGTAAGGCACTATACTTATGCTCCACCCACAAAAAGAGATTCTTGCACCAAGACTCCCCTACACTAGCCCCTGCTCTGCCCAGAGCCTTCCAGGCTCACTGAACCAGGTCTTCATTCTGCCTCTGTTCTCTTGTGGGAGGAAAGCACAAGGCTAGGGCCCACTGCCTTGTCTCAGACATGTCTACAAGTGCCAAGAAGTCACCTTAGTCTGCCCAGTAAAACTGAAATGAAGAAGTAACCATCCCATATCGCTCTTTGTCTGGCCCATATTTGCTGTCCTTAGACTCACTGCTAGGCTAATCTTCACAGCCAGCCCAGAGCAAGTCTTCTCAAAGTCACCAGGCTGCATGCTGAGGAGAGATGACTAGTGAACAAGAGGAGGCCACAGTGTCTGAGTCTAAGTCAACAGACTGCTTCCTTTGCTGAGAAATTCTTACTGCCAAAACCAAAATATCCAAACCACACTGAAGTCCACTGAACAGAGGTAAGCTCTGAGGCCGGCTGCTGGTGAAAGCGCGGCATCTCACTTTGGGCAGGCACAGATCAGGGCCATTCCAAGCAGCACTACTGTGTGGATCACTACCTCACTTACAAGAGAGCAAGCCATGGTTCCACTGGGCCAAGGAACAGCTCCCAGGCCAGGAACTAATCAGCAACAGAGTGAGGATCTGTACCCGTGTCCTTAGTAAATTTCCCTTCTGCTCAGCCACATAGAGAACCTCACACACAGCTGCTGAGGACAATCACTACTTGGCACCTGCAGCAGCACTGCCCCACAAGTGTACCACCAGGAAGGCAGGAAGCATGAAGCGGGCATGGCACAGGGCCAGAGGCAGCAGGCATTAGGGGGAGCTTCTAGATGGACAGAAAGAAAACCCTACAATCCCCACTGCTCCCAGGGTACTGCTTTTACTTTCAAGTTTTACTCTGAGAGGGAGACTCCCAGCAGATCAGAGAATCTTGACAAATCTAGGCCCAAGGGAGAAATGGTCCTGGTTTTGAAATCAAAACACACTTAACTCCTACCTGCTCTGCACATCATGTGATCTAAATTTCAGTTTCCACATCTGTAATTGGGGGCAAGCACAGCAACTGGTTTCTCACAGGGATGTGTTTGTGGACTAAATATAGCAAAAAAAAATGCCCAAGCACTGAGTTTGGCACTTGGCAGAGAGCAGTGCTTACTAAGTTCTAGCCTTCCATATCAGAAAAAACTAGTTTTCCTCAATCTAAAGCCTATGGCTCTGCTTCAATCATTCCGTCCTTTCAAATCCTAAATTCTATGTCTATTATACACATGCATGCAATGGTTAGAGGCAAAAGCACTGAGTGAAGCAAACACTGACATCTGTCCCCATGTTCCATGGATGGCTGATTGCCAAGAGAACAGTAACTTGTGATGTGGCAGGTCAGTTTAAACATTTCCAATGAAACATCACTTATTCATTGCAATATATTGACAACATTACACTTATGTGTGACATACTATACTCTTCCATGCATTAGGAAGATACAAAGCTATGCTCACTTACTGGAAAATTTACCTTTCTATGATGTTTCCTTAAGTTGCTAGGCTAACAAGACGCATGCAAAGAAATAGACACCAGATTTATGACACGATTTAAAGCTAAAAATTCAAGGATCTACTCAGGCAAATATATTACAATATGAAGGACAAGACAGAAATAAGAGAGACAGGATTTAGAGAAAATATAACTGGAAATCAAATAATCTTTTATCACAAATTTAAATCTAAGTTATCCAAGATTTACTAGAAAACACTATAAATTACTACTCAAAGAGCACATTCTATTTGAACACATGCGATTTAAAGCAAGACACTGTATAGAACAAAGGGCCCTGATAACCACCTACTCTCTAATATTCCCATGATGACAAGGATGTTACAGCAACATCTATTATAAAACTGAAGAGCCAGGCATGGTGGTGCAGACTTGTAATCCCCGCATTTGTGAAGCTAAGCCTGGAGAACTGCCAACCTGCACTACATGAGTTCAAAGCCAGCCTGAACTGCATGGTGTCATCCTGTCTCAGAAAAACACAAAAAACTGAACAAACTTATTTTTAGTTAATCATTTTTTGTGCAATGCAGTAAAATCTTCACCTAGAATATGATTTACAACTTCCTAAAATATATCATTTATCCCTCGTGCAGTGGCATACACATGAAATCACAGCACTCTGGTAGGCTGAGGCAGGAAGGCTGCCAAGTTTGAGCTCATCTTGGTGATTTAGCACGATCCTGTCTCACAATAAAAAATAATACTGAAAAAAAAAAAGGGTCATGTGTGTATCTCAGTGCACAGGCCTAGATTCCATCCGAGATACTGTGGAATACAAAGGAGTGGAATGGAATGGAAAAAAAAAAAAGAAAGCTAGGCATCCTAAAATACGTAACAATAAAAGCTAGCACAGTACTAGATAGGAGGCATTTTAATTAAAAAGTAGTCCATTAAAGACTATAGCATATGCCCTATAAGTTGATGAGATTTAGAATTCTGATTATAATCAATAAAATCTGATTCGTATTGTCTGTATAAAGTTCCCATAAATTTTACACTCAGCAGTGGCCCCTCCCCTTGCTCCTGCAGTATGCAGGGTTGAATCCAGCTGGGCCACTCAACAAACTACACTGCCAGCCACGTTTATATTTTTATTTTGACATAGCACATTGCTAAACTTCTCATGCTGGCCTCAGACTTAAAATCCTCCTTCTTAGCTTCCCCAGTAGCTGGCATTACAGGCATGTGCCACTGCAGTGAGCCCAGATTATTTTTTAACCTAGGAAATACTTCACTCATGAATCATGCAGATCCTGTACAATCTAAGGAAAAACATTCAACCAATTATATCTTGCTTGTAACCACATTGACAAATTATATATTAAATATAATTGATCACTACTGAGCAAAATACATTTTTAATGACAAAAACCCCAAGCCCCACTAATCAGTCATAATCCAGCTCAGACTCACACGTGCTTGCCTGGTTAGCTGTGCAGAGCCATCACAGAATGGGGAGGGGCTGAGAGGGGAGCTTCATGGACAAACTACAAATTGATAGGGACCTGAGGCCTGGATTAGAATTGAATCTGGAGATGGTTAAAATAAAACAAACACAAGGGTGGCATAAGAAATCAAAACCAACAATGGAAGCACACAGACCGTCAGCCAGCATGCTGAATTAGAGAACCAGGAAGAAAGAGTTTTCCTCCGTGGTTGTGTGTGGTACTGGGAATAGAAGGCAGGGGTACTCTAACACTGAGCTATGGTCCCATATTTTTTTCCTTTTAATTTCAAAACAAGGTCTTGCTAAATTGGGCAGCCTACCCTTGAACTTATGATTGTCTGCCTCAGTCTCCTGGGTAGCTAGAAAGATAGGGTTCACCCACTATGCTTGGGATACTCAGCTCTTTTTGAGTCAGTGTCTTCCTAAATTGCCCAGGCTGACCTTAAACTGGCAAACCTCCCACTTCAGTCCACAAGTAGCTGGGATTACAGATGTGTTGCTGCACTTCTTTTACAAATACTGGAAAGAAGGACACAACTGATAAATGAGATTGTCAAAAAGATGAAAATACAATGCCAGGCTTGGTGCCACATGTCTGTAATCCCAGCATGTGAGAGGCTGAGGCAGGAGAACTGCCATGAGTTCAAGGCCAGCTTGAATTACACCACAAGATCCTTTTTTCAAAAAACCAAACACTAATAAATAAAATAAGTTTGAAAAGAAGAAAAAGGGTCAGGGATATAGCTCCATGGCATAGCACTTGCCTGTCAAGCAGAACATCATGAGTTCAATTCATAGTACCAAAAGAAAAGAAAATGGTTTGGTGAGTGGTTTGGTGCTTGCCTAGTATGTGAAAAACCCTAGGTTCAAACCCAATATGTCCAAAAAAAAAAAAAAAAAACAGGAAAAGAAAAGAAAAATATTGCTCAGTTAGTTAACAGTATAAATTATAAATACATCCAAATGTCACAAAACAGACTGCTGACACTGAACATTCCACTAAAATGACTTGCTTAATTTGATTATATTCTGGCTAAGAATGCCACTAAAAAGTAAAATGTATAGCAAGAGAAATAAAACCAAAGATACAAGTACAGGTGCAAAGTAGAATGTTGTAAATACAATTTCACATGAAATGAGATCTCATAGGCAAGATAAGCACAAAGCCTAAACTACCCAAAAACTATTCACACATTAGAGCTGATGTAACATCCAAAATTCAATACCATACCTCTGTGCCTGAGGAAAAATATGAAAAAATTAGAAGACACCTGATAATGCTCCCTTTGCCACAGTCCCAGAGAATACTCACATCTCTTTAGCGAACTCAAAGCACAACTAGTACTGAAAATCCTTGTTTAAGGAGTGCATGTACTTGAGAAGCTGAACATAAAGAAGAACACATGATGACAGCCAAGAAGCTGCAAAGATGAAGAATCCACATGAGGGTGGAGGACAAACTCCCATAAACTAAGTGGGAAAAGCTGGGCAAGTTCTCCTCTACCTTTTTAAAAGACCACAGAAAAGGAGAAATTTCTCAACCAGGGGGAGGCGGTATGTCACGATCTGACAGCAATACTGTGTTGTATTATTCATATTTATACTCATTCAACAGTGCAAATGCTGAAAATAACCGACCAAGGAAAGGACAAAAAAAAAAAAAAGGAATCATTATCCTTAACACTCCAAGCACTCAACATTATGACAACCCTGTAATTTTTATCACTTATTTCATGAACATCTCGTTCCAATTTCTTGTTCATCTCTTCAGACTTGATGAGATCCTTTCTTGCTGTGTCAAGATTTTCTTGCAGCTCTGACACATGGCTGGAAAGTGCAGCCAGGAGCTCCTTCATCTGACTCTGCTCTTTTGAATGTTTGTGTATGACTTCTTGGAGCACAATTATTTTGGCAAGGTCTTCCTCATGGCTTAAGGAGCCAGCAGAAGATCTCTGATGGGTAAAATGGACACTCTTAAATAACCTTAGTGTACTACCAAATAAAATACTTTTGAACATAGGGACTATCAAAATGGATTTATGCCATCTGTTGGATGATAGGACTCTCAACAATCACTTTAGCTGGAAGCAGGCCATTCCAGCAACAGCATCCAAACAGCATCACACACGAACCACAAAATATAAGAAATCAGCAACAGAACAAAGAGAGATCTCAAGGACTTACCTTTCCATTAGTGCTTGGTGTTTCTTCTTGTTCATGGTCAAGCACTCCATCTCTTGGTGATTTTTTCTCATTATTCTGTTTTTTAAGAGTCATTAGCTACAATCGAAAACTGAGTATGAGACTACAATAACTTATGGAAGAGTAATGAGTAAAGACAGCAAAATTCCATTTGGAAAAACATAATTCTACAGTGCTGAACATAGTATAAAAAAGACAGTACATGCCAAAGCTGACCATCCATAGCAGAACCAGATTACTAGAAACAGAATGTACTGACTGCTTGACAACAAATTTAGAGATTCTTGCAATCTGAAATAAAAATCTAATCCAATAGTATTACAGGCTTCACACTGTTTTTTAAGAGATTAAAATAAAATAATTTTCCCTTTTCAGGGCTAGGATGATGTCCCACAATTACCTCCTTGTGCATAGCGCCCAGTTCCTCTTCCAGCAAGCTGCACCTTTGCAGTGCTACACGTAATTGCTCTCGCACCTGAAAAGAGTTGAGTTTTTATATGCATACGCACACTTTCCATATAGTTATCCTGATATTGATGAAAGGCATATAATAAAGTACTTTCAATGTCTTTCATTGCTAGTACTGTCAAGAAAATGTCCTTGTTAATGGCTTTAAATATTAAGGCCGGGAAACTCTTGTTCCTAAATAAATGAACACTATCCAGTTCTTAATGGGCAGTCAATATTCAGAAATAATCAATTGAAGACTCACATTCCAGTTAGTGTTTGTTGATTATGCAGAACATTGCCTTTTAATACAGAAAGTCTGTTTACAAGAACTCAAAAACTTAGCAAACCTTAAAGGTAAACAAACACATGCAAAGTCTGCCATGAACCCAGCAAGTGTAAGAACCCAGAACCACTAGTGTAGCTCATGTACCTCTTTGTCCAGGGTCTTGTGGTGGTCAAATAAGAATGTCAGTGCTTTTAGCACTTCCATCTCTGTGGACACATCTGCAGGACACCGCGCCTGCCGCTTCATCACAGTCGTTTCGAGAGAGCGTTCATGCCTGGAGACAAGGAACTCCAGATGTTCCAGGAACAGCTGAAACCAGGCCAAAGGGGGCGTGTAAAGAGCACCTTCAATTTCACATTCAAATCCTTCATAATCTCATGGTCAAACAAGTTCAAATTCCTACAATTCAGTAGAGTTAGGTAAATTTCCCTCAATTGTATTCGAATGTCATGAATTTCCATCACTAATTTCTTTTATTAACAAGAAGGTCTCATTTTGTAGTCTAGGCTGGCTTGAGGACTTACTAGCTAGCCCAGGCTGACCTCTAACTCAAGACATTCCTGGCTCAGAATGTTGGGATTGAAGGCATATGCCACCATGCTTTGCCTTCTATCACAAATTTTAAGCAACATTTAATACTGAACACACTCTACAGAAGGAAAAAGCACAAAACACTTAAACCAGAGCTCCACTGACCCTCGTGTTGTTCCTTTCTGCTTTCAGTTCAGCAATTTCTTTTTCCTTCTCAAGCAGCTGTTCCCTGCAAATGTTGAGCTCTTTTGCAAGCGTTGAAAACTCCTGCAAAGCAGCAAAGTAAAGGAATAAATCAACACATACATGAATAAATTTAAAAAAAAAAAAAACCTCTTAGGCAAGACTTCCATTGGCCTCATAGTCCACACACACAGGCAACCCAATCTCAAGATACATGGCAAAGGATTCCCATTCTCCTCCAGAGAAATGGAGATCAACCATTTGCCGTAAGGTGACATAGGTATTCCCAATGGAATGAGAGTCTAACCCAGGCCATCTGACTTCCCTCCACCCTGGCACTGCTGAAAGCACAGCAGGGGATAATGAGTGTCCAGGTCCACCTCTTTAGACTTCAGGAAATAAAAGCATTTTCCTCAATTGGCATCCCAAAATGAAGCATCTGAAGACATTTGTAAGTCAGTCACAGATCTGAGACCTAGAGCCCTTAGAGAGATCAAGGAAAAAAGGCCTAGAAGGTCACTATCCAATTCTAGTCCCCTCTCTATTCTGATTTTCCCTTAGTCCCTATAGTCTCCCTGAATCATTGGAGCAAAGTCAACTATGAAGAATGGGCTTACTGCTAGGACTAGGAAGCCTTTTGTATTCTCTGTAAAGGCATTCTCAAAACACTATGCATGCAGCAGTGTAGGAGATCTTGCAAAAGGCAGAGAGAAGCTGCAGGAGTCCTGCAGCACTGTTCTGTGCTAAACCTTGTGTTATGACACCGGTTCACAGATACCACAAATGAACTGAATTGAGCAATGTGAATTTGGAGCAAAGCAACTCTGAAATAAGTAAAATCATCTGCCAGTGTTTCTGGCTTTAGGTGCTTTTCCTTTAAAAGACAAGAATAAAGATCTACCGGATAAATAATCAGTCCTTCAAAAGAACATGTGCTTGAGCTAGATAATTCTAGAAAGCTAGTTTAACACAGGCGGTGCTCTTACAGGGCACTGGTAGCAATTGTTTGCAGCTCACAGTCAATCTCATCACAGAAAGCACAGGCCCATGAAGTCTGCTTTAACCAGACCACGACTCATGTGCCTATGTGAGCCACAGTGAGATTGGGCAAGTAAAGTGAGAGAGAAATAGAGATGACACTGCCACAGAAAGCACTGGAAAAGAGCAAAATTTCTTTTAAACTAGCTTTTCTTCTCCAAAAACTCATGACTGTGGGTGAGCCGAACTTAGCCTGGCAGGAACTTTGCAGCCTGCTCCCCAGGGAGACCTGAAATGATGAAAACCACTCTTCAAAGCTTCTGGAAATGGCTCAAAGGATAACAGTAAATGAGGAAATTATCTATTCAAGAAATATCAGGAATAAGGCCAGGAGTCCATGGTATTTGAATTAGGACTTCTATTTGCCTCCCCCACCCAGCTCAGCATAGCGGACTCCTCCAGCCAAAAACACAGGGCCCTTCACCAGGCCAAAACCATGGTGGCTCCCCAGATAACAACATAGAGATTCTTCTCCCCAGGCCAGCAGAGCCTTCTCTTTCCCAGCTAGCAACACATGATTCTCATATCCAGACCAACTGAAGGCCCCTTCTTCCCCCAGGCCAGCAAGGTAAGGTCCTTTCCCCAGGCCAACAACACAGGCTCTGCTCCCTGGACCTGCCATGCAGGATTGTCTCCTCACACTCAAATGCCCCCTCACCAAGGCCACTAACATAGGGTCTGCTTGCTCCTGCCTGCCAACCAGGTAAAAATCATCCAAATGTGTCTTAAAACCTGACAGAGTTCCAGCCAGTGTTGAGACATCTTCATAGGCCCAAAGCCAACCTTCAGGAATGGGACTTGTGGATGCGAAGCAGTAGGGGAAAGGGTATTGGCCAGCCGGCCATCTAGACTTCTGTCATGTTCTCTACTAAGTGTGAGCTCTTCCCTGTGGTACAGATTTCTCCTGTAGATGCCAACACGGCCCTGATCGAGGTACTAACTGGCATTGGCCATGGTGATAAGCAAGAGCTCACTGTCAGGTCACCTAATAAGTACCATTCCTGACAGAGTGTGCCCTCTCTCTAATGGAATCTTTTATCAGAAAGATTCTGGGGCAGGTAGAAGAAAAGTAGACTCTAATTACTCTAAGTCAAAAATCAAATCAATTCTATTCACACACCTATCACATCAATAGGTGGGCCTGGCTCTAGGCCTGCCTAAATTGAGGGCCTTGAATTTTTCTCATTTTGTCTCTCTTGCTGCAATCTGGCTCACCTTTGGTGACTTACTGCCAGTGCTCCGTCTTTGACCATGTCCACAACAGACTGTATCATTCTAGCTAAGGTCTGTTTCATTTACTAGATTCCAAGTTGTTTTTTTGTCATACCTGCTTCGTTTTACCGCCAGTCCCTGTTACTATGGATGTTAATCTGTCTCTAAGTATCATGCTCACTTATTTTGGCAGTTTTGGCAGATTCTCCACCCATTTGTGATCGAGTGAAATAGGCACCTGTTTGTGAGTAGTCATCTCTGTAAGCGTGTCTTAGTATTATCTATTTTTAAGCACTGTGGAATCTAGTTTCATGCTCATCTAGATGAGGAGGCTTTATGTTGTTAGCAGTCTCCCTCTCCCAGTCACTTCCAGCTACTATAAAAAAAAAAAACTACCATAGTCATAGGCTGGGTATTAATAAACAACAGATAATTATTTCTGACAGTTCTAGAGGCTGCAAGTCTAAAATCACATAGGATACAATGTTAACTTAGGATACAATCTTAAATTAGGATATATAACATATGATATAATCTTAACAGATAAACAGACAAATTCTGTATCTTTCTCTCTCTTTTTTGAGATAAGGTTTCATTATACAGTTCTGGCTGGCCATGAACTCACACTGTAGTCCAGGCTGGCTTCAAACTCCAGCAGTCCTCCTGTATCAGCCTCCTGAGTGCTGGGATTACAGGCATATACCACCTTGTCTGACTCTCATTTCTAATTGTAGTAACAAAACAAGACTGCTGTGGGCTGGGGTAATCAGAGCATGCTTACTTAGTATGTTCAAGGCCCCGTGTTTAACGTCCAGCAATCTCATCTCTAAAGAAGGCCATCATGCTTGAAATTACTAACAAGAATCATAAAAGTTCAAAACTATTTTTGGGAGGGACCCAAAAATCAAACTTAAGACCATGTTGTTTACCAGGCATCATTTAAAATTTCAGGTTAAAACAATCATTTGTTAAAATAGAAAAGAAAAAAGAAGAGGTAAGGCACTATACTTATGCTCCACCCACAAAAAGAGATTCTTGCACCAAGACTCCCCTACATTGGCCCCGCTCTGCCCAGAGCGTTCTAGGCTCATTGAACCAGGCCTTCATTCTGCCTCTGTTCTCTTGTGAGAGGAAACCCAAGGCTAGGACCCACTGCCTTGTCTCAGACCTTTCTACAAGTGCCAAGAAGTCACCTTAGTCTGCCCAGTAAAACTGAAATGAAGAAGTAACCATCCCATATCGCTCTTTGTCTGGCCCATATTTGCTGTCCTTAGACTCACTGCTAGGCTAATCTTCACAGCCAGCCCAGAGCAAGTCTTCTCAAAGTCACCAGGCTGCATGCTGAGGAGAGATGACTAGTGAACAAGAGGAGGCCACAGTGTCTGAGTCTAAGTCAACAGACTGCTTCCTTTGCTGAGAAATTCTTACTGCCAAAACCAAAATATCCAAACCACACTGAAGTCCACTGAACAGAGGTAAGCTCTGAGGCCGGCTGCTGGTGAAAGCGCGGCATCTCACTTTGGGCAGGCACAGATCAGGGCCATTCCAAGCAGCACTACTGTGTGGATCACTACCTCACTTACAAGAGAGCAAGCCATGGTTCCACTGGGCCAAGGAACAGCTCCCAGGCCAGGAACTAATCAGCAACAGAGTGAGGATCTGTACCTGTGTCCTTACTAAATTACACTTCTGCTCAGCCACATAGAGAAGCTCACACACAGCTGCTGAGGACAATCACCACTTGGCACCTGCAGCAGCACTGCCCCACAAGTGCACCACCAGGAAGGCAGGAAGCATGAAGTGGGCATGGCACAGGGCCAGAGGCAGCAGGCATTAGGGGGAGCTTCTAGACTGACAGAAAGAAAACTCCGCAATCCCCACTGCTTCCAGGGCACCGCTTTTACTTCCAAGGTTTCCTCTGAGAGGGAGACTGTCAGCAGATCAGAACATCTTGAAAAATCTAGGCTCAAGGGAGAAATGGTCCTGGTTTTGGAATCAAAACAGACTTAACTTATACCTGCTCTGCACATCATGTGATCTAAATTTCAGTTTCCACATCTGTAATTGGGGGCAAGCACAGCAACTGGTTTCTCACGGGGATGTGTTTGTGGACTAAATATAGCAAAAAAATGGCCAAGTACTGAGTTTGGCACCCGGCAGAGAGCAGTGCTTACTAAGTTCTAGCCTTCCATATCAGAGAAAACTGTTTTTCCTCAATCTAAAGCCTATGGCTCTGCTTCAATCATTCCCTCCTTTCAAATCCTAAATTTTCCATCTATTATACACACGCATGCAATGGTTAGAGGCAAAAGCTCTGAGTATAGCAAGCACTGACATCTGTCCCCATGTTCCATGGATGGCTGATTGCCAAGAGAACAGTAACTTGTGATGTGGCAGGTCAGTTTAAACATTTCCAATGAAACATCAGTTATTCATTACAATATATTGACAACATTACACTTATGTGTGACATACTATACTCTTCCATGCATTAGGAAGATACAAAGGTATGCTCAGTTACTGGAAAATTTGCCTTTCTATGATAGTTCCTTAAGTTGCTAGGCTGACAAGACGCATGCATAGAAATAGACACCAGATTTATGACACGATTTAAAGCTAAAAATTCAAGGATCTACTCAGGCAAATATATTACAATACAAAGGACAAGACAGAAATAAGGGAGACAGGATTTAGAGGAAATATAACTGGAAATCAAATAATCTTTTATCACAAATTTAAATCTAAGTTATCCAAGATTTACTAGAAAACACTATAAATTACTACTCAAAGAGCACATTCTGTTTGAACACATGCGATTTAAAGCATGACACTAT